AGCCGGCTGTGATGGCCGACTCTCTTTTTTGTCAGACCACTTTGACTCTGACAGCTTACTGATGTTGCAGAGTTCGATCGCCTGTATACAGGCGTCCGCCTCCATCAGTGCCTCTTGGAGGGTAGCAACCCTCTTTCCGACGAGGTTGAACTTAATGGCCGGACCATCTTTCAGACCTTTGAAAATGTCTGTATAGGGCACTTCATCAGAAAACCCCTTGAATCTGAATTCTCATCAGATTAAACCACCTGATATATGACCGAAGCCCTTCTTTATCTCCCTACTGAATGGCACCCAAGTCTAGACTTGTTTTCTTAGTAGGGATGTTTATAGAGAAATTGGACGCAAATAAGTATGCAAGTGTCTTGAAATTGTTGATGCATCCGGCTGGCAAGTTGCCGAACCATTGTTGGGCGACGCCCTTTAATGTGGCTGGGAAGCATCGACACCAGGCAGCATCATCCAACCCCTGTAAATACATGAGGTTGGTGTAGGCCATGAGGTGATCTTCCAGATTAGTGGTATCATCATAGGTACCTACCAAAACATTTTTAACCAGCCTCGGTTATTTCCTTGGAGAAGGGAGAGGGTTATTCCCCAAGCCTTAGTAGACGGAGGTGCCAGACTAAAGGTTAGACGTTTTGTGCTACCTGCACCCCAAAGAGGGTCGGCTTCATGTAAGGTTATCCATACGGCATGTATGGCTACTAAGGCATGTACGGACCCGAATGGATTATCTGAGGGCTAGAGTGGACGGACAGGTTTCCTGGCTGACCTTCTCGGTTTGATTGCAAATACGTCACTGAGGTATTCTGAAAGCTGTCTTGGTAAATCGACGTTGAAGCCGACTCAGAAACATGTTGACTCTTCTTCTGCTGGATTAACATCCGGGCATCAGAATAAGTCTTCTTTGTGTTATCCAGCTAAACGTGCTGAATTAGCCTTCCTCATCCCTGTCTCAGGGAATCAGATCTTTGTAAGATCGATCAAGGGTCGCTTCCCCTCCTTTGATTTAGGATGCGGGGTGGGTTCTCAGTCCTTGACAGACTTGTTCCTCACATAATGGGAAGGGTTCTTGGCCGACTGCTCCTTGTTAGAGCCAGCTGACTTTTTATCGATGAGGTCCTTTATCTCCCCCTTGAAACTTGTCATGAATCACATGAGTTTATCTCGAGTGACTAGGGTTGTGCTTTTGGCCACCTAGGGTTATCCAGACGGCTGTCCGGATGGCTGACTTGGACCTGTTTGATCATCACCCTATTCCCTTCCTTCTATGGGACGAGTGCGTCTTGTTCTGAGTGAACCGTCGGCAGCCATATATGTTTCGACTACAAAGTCGTCATCAATGTCTTGGTCCGTATAGACCTGAGCGCCGGCCATAGGTCGTTTCTCACTAGGATGTGGTAAAGACCCATGCGAAGCCATCTCAGAAGTAATCTCCCCACAGACGGCGCCAAATGTTTTGGGGTTTTCTGTGTCCTTCAGAAGAGTTACAATTCCAAGACTGGACTCTGGGCGCCTATACCTGCAAAACACCAGAGACTCCGGTTGGTGGGAGTTCCGCCTCCGACGATCAAGTTAGAACGTGTTCAGATGTAAAAAGCGCCGAATATAAATGGGTTCAGGTTCCTCTTACGAGAATAATGATCATCCGACTATGGCAAACAACCTCAATATCCGAGTGTAAACTCTTAAGTGTGTTTAATTCTGCAATTAATGGTCTCACTGAGTGTTTGTTTTTTTATATCGTTCCCCAGGTGGGAACATCTCCCTTTTATAAGGTCTTGAATTATGTGCCTAGTCTTAGGTTACGGAAACCTAGGACTGATTGGGCTGCCTAGGAGTTTGGGCCTTGAAGGCAGCCATTCCTAGTTGGATACCTGTCTGCCATGTGTCGTGCCCTGATTGGTCCACTTTGGACTCTTCACTAAGTGACACGTGGCAGATTCTGGTTGGTCCACGTGGATGACACGTGGAAGGTCTTGATTGGTCCACGTGGCAGGGTAAAAATCCCCTAATCAGGTCAAACAATGTCTATTTATCCCCTAATTAGGTAAAAAATTACTCTAACACTCTAAATGAAAAGACTAATACACTTATTGTACTTTGGAGGGTCAAACAATGTTTGTTTATAGCTCCATAAAAAAATGACACATTTTCCTAAGGAGACAAAATGTCGTATTTTTATACTATACGATTGTCATACATATATGCATAATAATACGGTATACACTTTTTACTATATAAAAGGAGATTACCCTTATCCAAATCTCCACTCACCACTTATTTCTTATCTCCTTCTACCTTCCTTCTTAACCGAAAAAGACCAAGAAAATCTCCATTAATTCGGCCACAATATTCCAAAATAACCAAGAAGATCAACTTATCTTCACTTTCGAAGAAGACATGAGAATGATAAGGGTGTACTTCAGGTACATTGTGGGGTTAATGGTCCTCATGATGGGTGCATTAATTTACTTACTAATTAACAAGTGAAGCCTGAAATTACTTCGGTGGAGCACAGGAAAAATGCATATGGTGTCAGCCATACTTCGATTTTTGTAATTTAGGAGTGTAGAAGTACGAATTGTAACATGCATTTTGGAAATTATGGTTAAAAAATATTATTATTACTCGTGTTTTTCGTCTTAAATAGCTTAAATATTGTGATTAAGTTTATAAAAAATATTTTAGCATATACTTGTGTTATTACCAAATAATTAAAAAAAACGATAGCAAAATAATAATAATTGTTGTAAAAATAACAATTATAAAATAAAAATAAAAATAAAAATATTAATGATGATAATAATAATAATAATAATAATAATAATAATAATAATAATAATAATAATAATAATAATAATAATAATAAATAATCACAATAGTAGGATGACGTAGGGAAAACTAGGTCGTTGACTAATCGTCCTAGTGTCAAACAAAATTTATATTCACTTAACAAACCTAAATACAAGTATAGAGGTAAGTCAAGGGTCAAACCACTAAGCTAGGAACGGTTATGTTTAAGTGTTTCCAATATGCGCCTAAACTAGATCGAAGTCAAGGGTGAAGAATAGAGTAACTAATACTAATCAACTACCAAAACAAAGAAGCAAACAAATGAAACACTAGGGAATAGGGATCAACAAGTAATCATCACGATTGCAACAACTTGGGAAGGCAGTGGACTTGATTTTGGCTGCTCTTAATTAGGAAATATTCCCTGTTTCGCACTTCACTAACATACACCATCACAACCGTTCGATCATCAAGCTCCATTAAAATCAACGGCTCAAAAACATCAGACCGTGTACACACATCAATGGGTCTTCGCGCGCGCACTATCTGGGTCTTGGTGGTCGAATGAGCTGTCGACAGTTGCCGTAATGGAATGAAGTGGCTCGGCGGTTTGACGCGGGTCTTGGTTGGTTGTGGTGGTGATTGATTGTTGTAATTGGTGGCTGAAATGGTGATTGAGGGGGTTGAATTCATGATTGCGGGTGGCGGATTGGTGGACCAGGATTGTCGTTGCAGTGGCTGATTTGTGCGGCTGTTCTGCGATTAATTGCTATTGTTGGTGCGCTTGTGTTGGTGCGGAAGAATGGTGGCTGATTGGTGGTTGTGTCTGGTCGGTTTGTAATTGTTGGTGTTGCGTGGCTATTGCTGGTGGGAGTTGGTGGTTGTTGCGGGGGCTTGAATTGGTGGTGTTCTGTTACGTGTTGTTGTTTGTATTGCGGTGTGGAGTGTGGTGTTGGAGAGGTGGTTGCTTAGATAAACTGGAGTGCAGGGGCTGGGCTGATGTGTGTTTATTGTTGCGGGAGCAAAGGAAATGCGTGAGAGGGGAGTTGGTGGTGTGAAGCGTGGCTGGCCGAGTGTTGCAGTGAGTATAGTTGGTGGGCACGAGCATCATCCTCATAGCAAGCTCGTGCTACCCACTCGAACAGGCAGTCCCAAAATGAGTTTACGGTGGGTTCAACACCACCCGGCTTGAGAACGCAGTTTTGCGAGCGTAAAGAAGAATTGAACTTAGAATATTCACGAAAAAATGAAGTAAAGTAAAACTAAACATAACAAACAAAAGTAATAGAAATAAAATGAAAACGAAAAGAACGAAAGAAATCAACATAAAAAGAAAAGAAAATAAAGGAAAGGAAAATGAAATGAAATGAAAATAAAAGCAAAACTAAAACTATAAAATCTATATTAAAAGAAAAACAACTAAAACTACGAATTAAGGCCTAAAATCATAAAAAATTTTGATCAATGAGATGCATGCTTTTTTTAAAAAGAAAGAAAATCCCAGTTGATTTTTAATTAATTTACAACTTAAACGTTGGCTTTGGTGCAGTTGAAAAACTGGCTTAAAAAGAGAGTGAAATTCTCACTCAATTGCAACACAAATGTTAGCTTAGGTGCAGTTGAAAAACAAGCTTAACCTTGTATCAATTAACTACCGATTTTAGAAGAAAAATCCCATATGTCTAAATTTCGATGGATGTATATTGGATTCTCTAAGGCAAAGATCAAAATCCCAGATCGCATGAATTTGAAGAATAGAAACAATTATTATTGAAAGAACATAACATAATCTATGGAATTCGGATACAAAAACACTAGACGAAAAAGATAAAAATGCACCGGTTCAAACCCCCCCTTTGGCACCGGTTTTGAATCGTTGGGTATTTGAGGGATGCCAAATCCATGAAAATTTGGCACCGATTCAAAACCGGTGCCAACTAAAGCATTTGGCACCGGTTAACCGGTGCCAACTACATGCTTTGGTACCGGTTAACCGGTGCCAGCTACATGTTTTGGCACCGGTTAACCGGTGCCAACTACTATGGCGCGTTTTTTTTTTTCAATACTATTGGCACCGGTTCAAAGCAAGAACCCGTGCCAAAAGTGTAAAAAAAAAATTTAAATAACTTTTGGCACCGGTTCTGGTCAAAACCGGTGCCAAAAATACCCCAAAAAAATAAAAAATAAAAAAATTTATTTTTTTGCATTTTTTTCACTTAAATTGATATAGAAACATTAACATATATATAAAGTTACATTTTTTCATTTTTTCTGTTAACTTTCATACACAAACAGCAAGACCAACTCAACTAAAACAAAATAGGTAAACAGCAAGACCAACTCAACTAAAACACAACGACCTCCTAAAAAAACAGCTTGTAAACAAACACCAAACGAAACACAGCAAATAAAAACCAACACCCAGCAAAACATGACAAAAAACAGCAGCAGCCATTTGAGCAGGACCATGCACAGCCAGCTAATCAAAAGCATCAGCAAACAAAGTCAGCACAGGACTGGGAACACAGCCTGCACCAGCACCCTAGTAAACCAGCATCACAAGAACTCAGCTACACAGGAACACAACAGCTCCAATCCACATCAAAGCAACACACAACACTTCATAATCAGGATGAACAAAAACACAGCAGCCCCCAGAAAACAAGAACTCAGCATCACAAGAACGCAGCAGCTCCAAGACACAACACAGCAACACACAGCAATGCAACCCAGAAAAAACGAAAGCACAGCATCAGGTCAGAAACTTCCTACAGGCCCTGACAGAGACAGAAACTCCCTACAGGCCCTGACAGAGACAGAACCAGCCAGCAAAACAATAAAAACAAAGGCAAGCACACCCTGCTGCACAGAAACGCAGCAACACAGCCCTAGCACTGCACCCAGCCTGCATCAGGAGCGCAGCAACCCAGCAACTCAAAAAGTCAGCAACACACATCCAAGAATAAATTTATGTCAATAACAAATTAACAAGTACACATGCACCAAGTATATATCAGTTATATATGTTGTACTACAATTCAAATAACATAGATCCAGCCTATGTGACATTTGATACATTCAGAAAGCTATATGCTACTTGAGAACTGCTAGTTTGCTAAATGCTACGGAGTATAACATAAATTACTGTTTACTGAAATATAAGTTTTCAACTATTCTATGTTTTATAGCTCATTTGAAATATATTGAGGGTAATTAAAGAAAAAGAAAACAAACAGTGGCAAAATGAATTGAATGAAAAAGCAAATGGATACAGAAATTTGTCTTAAAAACCTTCACTAAACAAAGCTAACAATGGAATTAGAAAGACTCATGCTCATCCAATTAGATATGAGATACTGTTAAAATCAACACCAAAAGTCAAGAAAAATATCTCAATTTCTCATAGTCAGCCTGTGCGTTCCCTCCCAAATTTGTTTTCATGATAAAAACTCTGTAAACCAATGATATAAAAGTGGCAAAACATCGGAATTATACTTACAAGGCATCAACAGCAAGCATTCTACCAATCTGGTGTCTTGAGTTGCCAGGGATTGAAAGTTGAACATGAGTCACTGGAAAGAACCTAATCAGTCAGCGGAAGCACAAATACAAGTCACCAACTAAACCATAATTAGTTCACACAACGAGAAACTATAAATACATCCAATTTTTCTATTAAAAAGCAGAGGAGAATTCATAGAGGAAGGCTCTAGATGAGAGTAGAACCTGTGCATTTCATTACAAAATGTTAGAAAAGAGAGCTTTCTAGAATCGGAAATGATAACCAACATGCCTTTCCCCATAACCTGCAGAAGGAATAAAATATGCATTCAATTACAATGCAATAAAAGAGATGTAGCCATTATGAGCATTAACATGAGGGTTCCTTACATCATGTAAAACCTGTGAGTTATTTCACACAGATAGTTTTGGAGGAAGACATGTGGTTTAGAGTTGTAATCTGCTTCTTGATTTATTTAAATATAACATTCTTATTATAAGAAGTGAATATATGACAGGGGCAAAGTGCAAAAGCAATAGACCAATGGCAACCACAAGTCCTGAATACAAGAGAGCCCAATGACAGCAGGAATACAGAAGAGGATACTCAAGTAGAAGCAACACGATGATCATAATGTTTTTCCTTAACCAGAAAATAGGAAGAAAAAAATTCCAAACAATTCAAAAGATGCCCAGATATACTCAGCAGTCAGCACCTATTCAAAAGTTGGGTTGAGGTGTGCTATGATTGCTCATAATTTACTGGGCATGTTAAATTGAACTGTTATGTCTTTTGCCATTTAAAGATACATGAGATCTTAATTTTAATAATTCAGCTAACCTTCTGAATTTCCATTTTGCTGCAGCAGGAACTTCTACTGGTGGTAAGGCTTCTTGCTTCCAGCCGATTAAAGCATCAAATGCATTGAAATGAATTTTAGTGCCACTAGCTAAATGCTTAAGAATTAAAGAACTGTTTCTAAATATCATCTCAGGAAAGTGAGTTGTCTTTAGTTTTTCTTCCCAATTACAATTACAAAATATAGTACCACCAGAACAAAGTTAAAATAGGGCAAGTAAACAAAATTCATATAGCGCTAAGGTAGTACGAAGTAATTAAGATCTGAAGAAAGGATTAGTTGCAAGTTAAGTACACACACATGCTGACATGCATAGAAAAGGTTAAGGGACTAGAACACCAGATTATTGAGAATATTTTCTGACATTAACTCTCCAACTACCACGACTCCCATGTCTGGCAGTGCATCTAAAATCTCAAACAGATACTTGTATATTTATTGGTATGATCCCTCAAAATACTTAAAATGCTAATTGAAATACTTTAAGAAACTTTCTAAATATGTGTCATATATTTCAAATAAGTCTGACATTGCTGAAAGGTCAGAGAGACGGCTAATTTTTCTTTCAACAATTACGTTAAATTACAAATCTTCCAAAGAAACAATTCACACTTTTAAACCAGCACCACAGGTAGGAGGATAAGCATGACTAAATGACTTAAACATCTTACTCCCTCACAAGAATCCCAACACTATATATTTAAACAGAAATCTGCAGCATGTAGAAACGAAAGAAAAGAGCCTTTTCCTTTTTACTTTTCTGGATGAGAAATACATAAGAATGCTAAGGATTCAAGACTACTGCATTCCTAACTATAAACATCATCACGTGAAACTGCATATGAACCAATCATCAAAAGTTGGTCAAAACCGTACACAAGTTTGAGAGATCAACAAACAAAAAGTTGGTGCTGAGCTCGTCAAAATAGGGGCTCCTACTATTTCAAACTAATTATAATAGCTCTAATTTGTCACAAAAAAAAAGTTGTTTAAATTGCTAACACAAAAAAAAAAAAAAAAAAAAAAAAAAAAAAAAAATTAAGGAGCAAAGTGTTTACCTTAACTACCAGCACAATTCATGTTTAAGTGAATATATATATAGAACCCAACTGAGTGACAGAAAATCTTAGAAGAACCTATATGGACAGACCAGATACAAAAATTCTGCACCGGGATATTTTCTTTTAGATTTTCCAAGCATGTCACAATGAAGAAAAGCTCCAGTAAAAATCCACACTAAATACAACTCCTTAGTAATGTAAATGATGCAGCCTAAATAATACTTGCACTTCTTAGAATATGGTAGAGTGACTAGAAGTGGAAGATAAGTAAGATGTCAAAGTTTGAGTAATGATCACTGATTAGGGGATTTTGCTCCCACCAATCGGAATGCGCCACGTGGACCAATCAGGTCCTGCCAAGTGTCCCCCAGTTGGAACAGTCAGGGCTTCCCACGTGGCACGCGCTTATTCGTCCACCTTGGACCCGTTATGTCAAGACATGTGGCATACTCCATGCCTAATGGAGAAACCGGCCACCCAGGCCCAACTTCCGAGGGAAGCCCAATCGGCCCTAGGTTTACCTAAACCTAGGATGGGCACGTTTTCCAAGGTTATAAATGCCTCCCTTAATCCTCATTAAGGGAGAGAACAGAAACATTACGGAAAAAACACATTAATTACACACAGTAATAAGCGGCTGATCTCGCTAACAAAGCAGATTACCTACCTTAAACACTCTCACCTAGAGAGACCAAATCACTTTAATTTCCGCATTAATTTCTCCTTAATCAGGTACTAACTTGACCGTTGGAGGCGGAGCTCCCAGGAGTCTCCGTTATTTTGCAGGTACAGGCGTCCGGTTCCAGTCTCGGAATTGTAACTTTCCCGCAGGACATCAGAAACCCCGAAACATTTGGCGCCGTCTGTGGGGAGAGTACTTCTGAGATGGCATCCAAGTCTGTACCGACTCCTGAAGAGAGGCGTCCCCTAGACGACCCTCAAGTTCAGTCGGACCATGATACCGAAAGTGAATTTGAAGTTGAAGCTCATACAGCTTCAGACGGGACCCTAAGGGCCCGACGTACCCGTCATACCGAAAGGAGGGAACGGGAGCATCTTCAAACAGGAAGCGAGCCAGCAGGCGCACCGCCTGTTCGGCAACAGCCGACTGATGGGTCTGCTCCCATCACAAGGAACGAACTCATGACCTTCATGAGGGACTTCAAGGGAGAGATTCAAGAGTTGATCAACAAGAAGCCGCCTGCTCCAGTCAAGGAGCAGTCGGCCAAGAAACCCTCCACTTCACTGAAGAGTAAGCCAGTTCAAGGGCGAGAGGCGACTCCTCATCCTAAATCTAGGAAGCGGGAGCCACCTGCCCTTGATTTCACAAAATTCCGTTATCCTACAGGAAATAGGAAACCTGTTCGTCATATTCAGGCGGACGGGTCGAAGCAAACATTCACAGATGCTCGGCTACTGCTAGAGCAGAAGAAGAGTGACCGATTGTCAGAGTCGGCCTCTACTTCAAACTTTCAAGACAGTTTGCGAAATGCCTCGATGAGGCATACTCAGTCGTACCATGAGAGTCAGTCAGGCGGCACCTCCCGTCAGTCCGGCTTTCATAGTGACCAGACGGTACCAAACTTACCATTTGTGCCGCAACAACAGTATTTTTTGCAGCCACCTCCGTTTGGTGGACCTGCAGCAAAAAACGTCCAACCTATGGACTGGCAGCTACGGTTGCTTAGACTTGGTGAACAGCCGTCGGCCTTCTCCAAGGAAATTACTGAAGCCGCTCAGCCGGCCAAAGTGAAAAATGTACTAGTAGGCGCCTATGACGGCACTACTAACCTAGAAGACCATCTGATGGCATTCACCAACCTGATGTACCTTCAAGGGTTGGATGATCCCACTTGGTGCAAGTGTTTCCCAGCGACTCTCAAAGTAATCGCACAGCAATGGTTCGGCAACCTGCCGACTGGTTGTGTAAATAGCTTCAGGACGCTTGCTTACTTATTTGCCTCTAACTTCGCCATGAACATCCCTGCGAAGAAAACGACCCTTGATTTGGGAACAATTCAGCAGGGCGAGAAGGAGGGGCTTCGTTCTTACATCAGGCGATTTAACCTGATGAGAATACAGATTCAAGGGTTACCGGATGAGGTAGCTTATACTGACTTTTTCAGAGGTCTCAAAGACGGGTCTACCTTCAAATTTGATTTGGTTCGAAAAAGGGTGGCGACTCTTCAAGAGGCCTTGATTGAAGCAGAAGCCTATATACAGGCGACTGATCTTTGTACGATAAAACAGTCGGACGGGAAAAGGTTCGACAAAAGAGAAGGACGACAGAAACAGTCGTCTAACAAAGATGAGAAAAGAAAAGAGGTCTGGGCGGCTGATTCCTCTAAACAGCCGGCCCAGAAAAAGAAAAAAGAATTCAAACCATACTCCCCAAAGTATGCGTTTAACAAGGATAACCAGTTTATCCTAAAAGAAATCAAGGGACGGATCTCAATTGAGAAGCCGGTCCCCATGAAGGGTTCTGCAAACAACCGGAACCAAGATAAATTATGTGCTTATCATGATGATGTTGGTCATCACACCAATGACTGCATCAGTCTCATGCGATACCTAGACCGCCTGGCTGAGCAAGGTGATCTTGACACTTATGTCAAGAAATCTACGGGGAACACTTCCTCAAAAAAGCAGTCGGCCAAAAAGAATCAGCAGGCCGACAGCTCCGATACAGATGATGCAGTCGTCTACACCATTGCAGGCGGCTTCTCAGGAGGCGGCCCCACTATTAGGGGCAACAAAGACAATATCAGGCGGTTAGATGTAAATTCCGTTCACCAAGAACGGTCGTCCAAATATTCATTTCCTGAGATTGTCATCACTGAAGAAGATCTAGGAGGGGTAAGGGGGCCGCATGACGACCCTCTCGTTATTGAATGTAAAGTGGCCAACCAGAGAGTTGGCCGAATCCTCATAGATACCGGAAGCTCCTCAGATCTCATCAGTAGCAAATGTCTGTCGAAACTAAAATATCAGACTGATTGCATACATCCGGCCTCCCACCCTTTAGTAGGGTTTGGAGGAGGAGTCGTCCACCCACTGGGACGAGTAGATTTACCCATCCGCCTGGGCGAAAAAGGGGAAGGACGACACATGGTAGTCCGGTTCCTGGTAGTAGAGGAACTCTCGGCCTACAACATGATTCTGGGTCGACCTACCCTGAATAATTCCAAGGCTGTTATAATCCCATCTCTTATGTTGCTCAAGTTTGAGAGGGATAATGGAACAGTCGGCTCCCTAAGGGGAGATCAGAGGATGGCCCGAGAGTGCTATCTCTCGGATGTCAAGCCCACTGTTATGGCTACTGGGTCAAGCGGTGAAAAAACAGACCTTGACAAGGAGAGTGCGCCTGTTCAAGAAGCAGGCGGCAAAAAGAGAAAGGCATCCCAGACAGGGGCCGCAAGAAAAGCAAGAAAATAGCAATCATTGGCAGAGGAGCGGCCGGATGAGTTCCGCCCTCAGCCGGCTGGTGAGCATGCGGACCTGATCTTAGACGACTCACGTCCTGACCGAACAGTCAAAGTTGGGACGACTGCTCTGAGAAACCTTGGTGACAACTTTCACAAACTATTGAAAGAATACAAGGACATCTTTGCATTCGAAGTCCATGAAATGCCAGGCATTAGTCCTGATCTGGCGGTACATAAACTAGCTGTGGATCCGAAAAAGAAGCCGGTACGGCAAAAGAAGCGGAACCATGGCGAAGAAAGAAGTCAGGCGGCAGCCGCCGAAGTTAAAAAATTACTTGATGCAGGGTTCATTCGGCAATGTTACTTCCCAGACTGGGTTGCAAATGTGGTGCTTGTTAAAAAGCCGAATGGCACCTGGCGAATGTGTGTAGACTACACAGACTTAAACAAGGCGTGCCCCAAAGACAGTTACCCTCTGCCTAAAATTGATAACCAAGTCGACTCAACAGCCGGCCATGCCTTGATGAGTTTTATGGACGCCTATTCTGGTTTCCATCAAATTCCTTTATGGAAGAAAGATCAGGAGAAGACGGCCTTCGTCACTGATCAGGGGTTATACTGTTACACGGTCATGCCGTTTGGTCTTAAGAATGCCCCGACTACCTTCCAACGAATGATAAACACTGTGTTCTTTGATCAGATTGGGAGAAACGTCGAGGCATACATTGATGATATGATTGTCAAGACTAAACTTCAGAAAGATCATCTGTCGGACCTCCGAGAAACTTTCGCCACACTCAGGCGGCACCATGTCATGCTCAATCCCAAGAAATGTGTATTTGGAGTTGAGTCTGGGAAATTTCTCGGATTCCTTATCAATCAGAGAGGAATAGAGGCGAACCCTGAGAAGGTGCAGGCGGTCATTGACATGCAGTCGCCTCGTACCATCCGAGAGGTTCAGAAGTTAACAGGTTGTCTGGCGGCTTTGGGAAGATTTCTAAGCCGATCAGGCGACAAATGCCTATACTTTTTCCAGGCAATTAAGAAAAAGGCAAGGTTTGAATGGGGGCCGGATGCTGAGGCCGCCTTCCAGAAATTAAAAGTTCACTTGCATTCCTTGCCGAGGCTGGTCAGCCCTTTGCCCAAAGAGGTTCTCTACATGTACCTGGCCGTCTCTGATCATGCGTTAAGCGCTGTGCTCCTTGCTGAAAGAGACGGCTGTCAGCTCCCGGTCTACTTTGTCAGTCACGTACTGAAAAATGCCGAGTTGAGGTATCCCCTAGTGGAGAAATTTGGTCTTGCACTCTTCATGGCTGTTAAAAAATTGAAGCCCTACTTTTTGGCACATGCAGTCGTCGTGTATACAGACCAACCTATCAAGCGGCCACTTACCATCATGGAGTCGTCAGGCCGAATGATCAAATGGGCCATAGAAATACAGAGCCTCGAAGTTACATTCGAGCCTAGAAAAGCAGTGAAGGGGCAAGCCTTTGCTGATTTTATTGTAGTGATGACTCGTCCTCCTGACTCTCAAGTTCCAGACCAAGTATGGAAGGTATATGTGGACGGAAGCTCTACTTCAAATGGTTGTGGAGCAGGCGTCATATGTCAGTCGCCAGAGGGCGACAGGTACGAGTATGCTCTACGCTTCAGTTTTCAGGCTTCAAACAATGAGGCAGAATATGAAGCTTTACTAGCCGGGATCCGCATGTGCAAGGCGGCAGGGGCAAGAAAAATAGACGCCTGTTCCGATTCACAATTGATAGTGAGTCAGTACAATGGCGAATACGAAGCAACCCATCCGGCCATGATCAAGTATTTACAGGCGGTCCGACAAGCAGTCGGCTCCCTTGAGGATTTCCATCTGATCCAAGTGCCGAGATCAGAAAACAA